CTCTCAAAATGCACTTGACCACCTCTACCTTCGCCCTAGTGGCATCCACTCTCCTCTCCGTAACCTCCGCCCACTCAGTCATGTGCAACGTCTTCGTCAACGGCGTCGACCAAGGCGACGGTCAAGGGAAATACATCCGATCACCCCCCAACACGGACCCCATCAAAGATCTAACCTCCCCCAACCTCGTCTGCAACGTCGCCGGCTCCAAGGCCGTGCCCGACTTCGTCAAAGCCGCCGCGGGGGACAAACTCACCTTTGAATGGCGCCGCGTCAAACGTGGCGACGACATCATCGACCCCTCCCACGCCGGGCCCATCATCACCTGGATCGCACCCTTTGTCTCCGGCAACCCCTCAGGTCCTGTCTGGAGCAAGATTGCCCAGGACGGATACGACGGGAAATGGGCGGTCGACCGGCTCATCGCCGCCAAGGGGAAAAACGAGTTTACTCTTCCTGTCGAACTCGCTCCGGGGCAGTACATTATTCGTCAAGAAATCATCGCGCACCACGAGAGTCACAAGACTTTTGACAAAGACCCGTCGCGGGGGGCCCAGTTCTACCCCTCGTGTGTTCAAGTTGAGGTTACGGGTTCCGGGACAAAAATCCCAGACCAGAACTTTGACTTCAACACTGGGTATACGTACTCTGATCCCGGTATCGCGTTCAATTTATACAATGGTTTCACGAGTTACCCCATCCCCGGGCCGGAAGTCTGGGATGCTGCTTCGGCGTCTTCGTCTGGTGGATCAACTGGAGGAGCTGGCGGCGGTGCTGCTGCTGGAAACGGCACGGTGGGAGCAGCAAGCAGTCCGTCAACACTTTCCACTAGGGTACGGGCAAGCAGGGAGACAGGTAGAGCGTAAGTGGAGTCTGTCCGATGGTGGAAAGGAATGGCTTCGGGAGTGGCGCCGGCACTGCTCCACTTTCTCCGGAGTAGGTACTTTGACGACATCCGGTGGACCGGTCGGGACCCTAGGGCGTGATCATTCCCGCTGAACGGCCGTCAACTCGACCTTCCACGCGTTCAAATAATCACTGTAGGCATACAAAACGAAAATAGACGCATTTAATTCCAATAAACATTCGTTCTTTCAGCTTGTTTAGCACATACCAGTAGCTTTGCACAGGTGTCAAGAGTTTATGTTTTTTTGGGTGTTTGTCGAAAAAGTCATGCCTTGATGATTTATTCCACTTCTTACGTCGCCAAACATTCATTCGAAAAGCGAAACTTGGTGCTGCTGGACATACACACACCCCCATCTTCTTAGATGGCAAAAGAAGGTGGGAAGAGGGAGTTCGTGCCCTCGATCTGCTTCGAATACTACCCGGTTGGCGTCTTTGTTTCGCGCAGTACACCCGCCACATACTAACTAGATATTCTTGCAATGTGTGTAGCTCGTTTACAAGAAGTCTGCCTCGAATGCCGAGACTTGAGGAAAGCGGCAAAAGGGAAAAAGAGCAAAAGGTTCGGCGAGAGGCCAAGTGTACTCCCAACCCGCTGGGCTAGTACGGAAATTTGACACTGGCATGATGACGTGCGCAGGAGTCGAACCCGCACCTTACCGGGTGTTGATATGATCAAATCAACTCCTCAGCCTAGTTTCCTGGGTGGCATGTTCTACCGTTAGACTAGCGAGCCATGACTGCAATGCCCTGTTGAATTTAATGGTCCATGATTAGGATTGTCATATCCGTCCAGCCCCCACTTCCAATCCTTCCAGGTTCCTTTCACCCCACCCACAAGTTCGATTTTCCGTGGGCATGATTATATCCAAGTCTCTAGGGCGGATCGCTTCGTTCTCGCAAGAAAGCTGTCTAAGCTTCGCGAGCTTCAATCTCGCTGGTTTACTTCAAGTGAGGGGATCTTGGTGTTAATCTCGAGACGTTTGAAAAGTTTGGTATGTGAGGTGGTATAACCACCACCTGCTTAGAAAGAGCCATGGTTAGCTAGGTACCTAACTGCATGTCACGGCATCCGTGATTAGATGCACAGAACAGAGTAGATAAGAACATAGATTAGATTAGATAGACAGAACCTTCCGGAATAGGAAGGTGGGTAAGAATTGGGAAGTGATCTCAGAAGACTGGCTTCGCAGCCACTCTTCTGAACCTTTCCCTCTTCATCTCACAATCCACTATATTCGAGTTAGGTATTGGCTTGACCTACTATAACCTTGCATTCGTGACACTGCAGTTGTGAAAAGTTTGATGGGATTTCTTGTTAGTACTCCTCCCTCGGACATGGATTTTGGGGAATTTTAACTTGACTGGGAGTATGGTCAGTGATTTCCTGATATGCGTGCCTTGTTGACAATATTTGTACACTTCTCAGGCTGCCACGAGATACTGGCTACCTTATCGCTTTGGGAAAAAATTAAGCTGCCCCTCCTTCTGTTCCAATTTTAAAAAGATTTTCAATATTCTTCGACGCCGACTTTCTTTTCGTGTGTTGCTGTTTTCTGGTGTTTCGCCCCCCCTCTCCCCCCTTCGTTGTTTTTCTGTCCCGTCTTCTCTTTCCTTTTTCCTTTTTAGACAGTTTGCTTTTCCTGGGCTCTTTTTTCATCTGAAAGCCATGTGTAAGTGATAACATGGGATCGAGGGTGAAAATGGAAGATTAGGCGTTGACATGCTCTCAGCATTGATCAGTGCAGCATCCGCGTTCGCTGGAACGGTTGCTGGCCGTGGGAAGAGCAAGCCGCTCGAATCCAAGAGAGGCAAACGCCGTTGCTCGGGCCGCCGCCGAGTTCCGTTCCAGTCTCGGCTCAGGCGGACGGGTCGAGCTGGCGTATTTTTGCGACAGCTCGGGCGGAAAGTCGTGGCTGATCGGCGGCATCCGAGCCCAGAGGTTCGGCGGCTGTGCCGTCGTTACAAAGCGGTTTGCTCCGGGCTCCCGCGACCACGACATGATTGTCGTGCATGCTTGGTAATTCTTTCTTCTCTTTTCTTGTTTGTTTTTTTCTTTTCCTCCATTCCCTTCCTCCATCTTCTCGCTACTCTTCCTCAATGTCCGAATTTCCCTCCCCGCTTGTTCAACTTTCGGGCGGTTCTTTGGGAGACGAGGACAGGTACAATTTCCACTTGGTCAATGACGGCGACTCCTTTACTGGGACAAGTTGATCGATGGTTAGTCTTTTGTGATTCAACCTCTTTCTTCCTCACAATCAGGGACCGTTCCGAGGTCAAAGTGGCGTTAGCAGCATCTCCTATTTTGATGTTCTCGAACCCTTGAGTGGCCGTAAGCTTTTTCAATGCTATCAGTTCCATCAGCTCTGGAGGGTTGCAATCGAATAGGATTGTTTGAATGCTAGACGTGCAAATTCTTTACGATATCTCGAGTCTATGTTGCCCCTATGCTCTTGATGATACGGGAAATATACATCTATCGTGTTTTATCCCGATAGCTTCACGTGACGCCAAGATGGGTTCTTCCAGCTTGCTGACGAACATCTTTCCATGTGTAGGGCAGTTGAACCAGCGATGAGCCAGCAGGTGACGGAAGGGATGGCGGTAGCCGAGGCCATAAGGCTAGCCGAACATGACTTGCGGCTCCTGGTAAAAGTCGGGTTGCCAGCAGTTGCCAATGTCACGGTAAGGATCTTCTCGGACTCTCTCCACGTGATCGAGATGATCGCTAGGACTGGTTGTGGCCCCACCATCGGCTAACCAATGAGCGTGCTGAGCTCCCAGTCTCGTTCTTTGTTTTTTGGCATCCGGGGTATGCAGGTAGACCTGCATTTAGCCTGGATACCTTCACACCTGGATTGAGATGATAAGTGGATCACTGCGGCCAAGTATCCAGAAATGAAGAGGGCAGTCAAAGCAGCGAGGGAAACGGCCACCGTGGAGTTGCACGAGTTGGCAGATAAGGCGGCGAACGAGGCAAGAGCAACGGGCATATCCTTTCGAAAAACGTTGATAAGCGCACATGACTGGAAAGGCGCCAGGTGTGAGGAGTTCAAGGATGACCCTGGTTTGTTTGGGGAACTTTCTGAGGTTATTCGCACCCAACTTGGTGGTTTGGACTGGCCACACTGTCCGTGAGAGATGCACCAGAGAGGCAGCGTGGGCAAAACTGGATGACTCGCTTCCACCACCACCGATTTACCTCCTTCCCTTCGAACCCGATGAAGAAGAATCTTCCGGTTGAAGTTTGATTTTTTTTCTTTTTTCCTGTCCACAACGAGGTTTGGGTAGTTGTGAGATTCGTCCAACTAAATGTTTGAGTGGGTAAGAGGGTCTCGGGTTAGGGTTGTCACATCTGTGACGGCGCTGAAAGCGTGTCTGGTGTTTGGACTGGTGATGGAGCCCTGGGGTGTGTGCGGGTTGGCCGGTTTTTGTCGTTACCATCTTTCGGTTGCTGGCATTGTAGTGAACCGGTGGAGGACTGCTTTGGGGATTATTGTGACGGACGAGGAAGATATATGTCAAAGTAAACAAATGTAGAGAGCTGGAAAGGGGTGTGTACTAGTCACGTGGACGGATGCAAATACAGCTCCAAGTCGAAGTTTATGCATGTTCTATTTTTTGACCATCTCCTAGTTCTGTGATGCACACCCTTGGACAACAGTGTGTAAACAACACAGGCGCATATATCTGCAGCGTGATTGCACTTGTGTCAGTGTAGGTATCCTCCAACATGGTTCCGTGACATCCTCAATGGATGAAGGCATGAATTGGCAGTCGTAGATGGTCAAAAATACACCCGTGTATACGTCTATCAAAAGGGGAAACTTACCATAGATGAGTCTAGTTCTTCTGTAGAAGCAGAGCACCTGAAACAGATAGAGCAGCGTGTACTGAGTAGGATGGTTTTCTGTACCTCCGAGGCCATAGAGAAACGCTGGAGATTACAGGTTGGAACTGACTCGACTATGGTTCTGACGAAACATGATATTTTAAGCAGGTTCATCTGCAGGTGATAGATTTGGAAAGAGCGGTGGGGCCGTGGTGCTTATGTACCAGAGTTTGGTTGTTTGATTTCAACAAACAGGTCTTATGGTCAGTTGGTCTAATTGGTAAGACATGCCAGCCATACCATGGATTGGCACTAACACTGCCGGTGTAAGATGCAGGTTCGAATCCTGCACTGGTCACGCGGATGTTTATATTCTTTCCCTAGAATCGTACTAGCCCAGCGGGTTGGGAGTACAGGCCTCTCGAGAGTTCTTACTTTTTGCCTCAGAAACGAATCTGAAAAGAATCGTGAGATTCTCTGTTTGTTTTTATTGACAATGTATACTTCATTGTATTTTTTTTCATCTCGGCATCTTCAAGAACACATGAGGCTCTTTTCTTCTTTATCCTCTGCATGGCAGTGGTTCTCGGTTTTAGCGAGGCAAATCTCAGGATTCCTACGACAGGAAAGAGCAGATATTTTCGTTGTCAAGAGAGCTTCTCTTCGCACCATTGCAAAGCCCTTCGCCCGCAATTCGTCCACCGAACACACCGATTACAGCTGCACCCACGTTTTTTTCACGATACCAGGAAAAATATCATACCAGTTACAATCCTTCAAATTCCCACAACAAACTGCATTGCTTTCCTCCTGCAAATCCACCTCTACACACGCAGTCGCGCAAAGCCTAAAGAAGCAGAAGATTGTCAAGAAAGAAACGTCAAAAGCTGGCAGAACGTCGACAAGGCTGGGCGAAGACGCTTTGAGGAAGCCGACGTCGGTGGCACACCCGCTGCCGCACAAAATCACCGTGAGAATCTTTTCAGACTCACACAATGTGACCGAGGCCACGCCTAAACGAGGGAGCCTCACAGCATTCAACTTCACGCCTGATCTCGAGCATGTCCTCGCCCTGTTGATTGAACAATCACATGCCCTGACAGGGCACTTTGTAGACCTGGAGGTTGAGCTGACCGTTGAGTGGATACCATCACACCTCGACAAAGACAAGCGATGGATGCCCGCAATGGGCGGTAGCCCTGTTGTCCTCGCAAAGCCACGGGCAGACCCCTTCATCACAAGTTCGCTATAACGGCATTACCGTCGGAGCTTTGTAAGTGAGTTTGAGCGTACCTTAAGCGATAGAAAGTATGCCACAGTACCGCAACGACTGATATCATCCTCAACATAAGCTGTGGTCAATGCAATGAGTTGTCTGCTAATCCCAGCCCTACATCTTGTCCAAGTCTGATGGTTTTACTCAACGGCCGCTTGGATCCTTTCAGATCACTAACGCCTGTCTGTGAAATCTCTAGGACAGTCGAGCCAGCCATGGATGCGCTGGTCACAGGAGGAATGGCCATAGCCGAGGCCTTCCCGTCCTTGAACCCGACTCTCACCACCGCAGATTCGCCGACCTCGCGACGGACCTCGACGATACCTTCGACAATGTCGAGCGGTCTAAGCGGGCGGAGGACGATCTCCGAGGGTTGCTATCAACGGCAAAGCCAGCACCAGCAAGGTGGTTCTGACTCTTTGAACGTCCTGGAAACAGTTGCTGGGATCCGACGACTCCTTTATTCCGTCCACTCTCCGACCTTTTCTATCGTCCCGACCACAATCAACCGGCAATCCCAGCGCCTTGTTGGGTCGCGCTCCAAACATGCTTAGAGGGAGAACTCACCCTAGCGTGGATTCCCTCTCACTGGGATAACAACGGGTAGAAGGGTCAAGGAACTTGCGCCAAAGCCGTGCAGCCGCAGCTGCCAAGGAGACAGCAACAGTGGAGTTCTATGAGCTGGCTGATACGGCAGCGAATGAGGCAAGAAAAACAGGCGCCTCGTATCGCAAGGTTTTGAACACCGCGCCTGGGAAAAGGCGACAACTGCAGATTTCACCGGCATTGTCATCTTCCAGATTCCCTGGACTGTGGGATCCTACATTCCTCCCCGCGCAGGCCAAGGCAGTTATCCCAGATGTACGTGTTCCCACATTTGTGCAGACCGACCTGTGAAACCGGCACCCGGCTAACACAGGCAGACCTGGGAGTTGGCAGAACAGCAGTAGCATTGGAAAATGGTTGGACAAGAACAGGGAATAACTGGGGTTTATCCGTCGTCTCTCTTAGTTCTAGCCTACATTGCTAAGATACTGCTCGAAGCAACTGCTTAGATAGCAGGTAGGCTTTAGGAATTTCGGTCCCCCATTTTAAGGCAGTGATTAACGCTGGCTCAAACAAGGACTAGGTTTTAGCTTTTACCTAGCTATCTGTTTTCTCGAGTTTCTGATCTCTGCCGTTGACAAGCTAGGATTAGGATAGCCACGGTCGAACTCAAAAGGGATCAAAGATCACCTGCAGTCCCAATTTCCCTATACCCAGAGGGAGTCATAACCCTGCCCTTTCTCTATTTCTCCACTGATTCCATAGAGACTAAATGAACGAGTCTTGGGCATTCCCAAGATGACACCTCGATTGTATAATCGCGACAATACGAGTGATAAGATCACATGAAGCTACCACAAAACAATAAGGAAGGAGCCGGTCTATATGCCAAAATTTTGACCACCGATTCTCAACACAGCAATTGCTTGGCCCGATGGTCTAGATGGTAAGACAGGAATGGGCGCCCGGCAAGATTTGGGTTCAACTTCCATAACGGTCATCCGGTTGTTGATCATTCGTACTATTAGCCCAGCGGGTTGGGAGTACCCCCGGCCTCTCGCCAACCTTTTTGTTTGCTTTTATTTCTGAACCCTTTTTCTCTCTGCCGTTTCGCAATGGAAGAGGTCCATTGCATTTTTTGAGCGGAGATTGAGGGTGTGATGTTCTCACAAACCACGCACAAGTTCAGCACGAAAAGCTTCATGCAACATCTTTTATGTACAGAGGATGGTCACCTATATCTACAGTATCCATCACATGCCACCCCCTCCCATATCACAAGATGAGCCTTCCACCACAATCAAGGCAGCATGGCGTTCAAGTACACCGACAAGACTAAGCACTCAGCCTTGTAAGGGTGAGGTCGTCAATGTAAATGGTATTGGTGCCGCCACTCCCCACATTACCTCCCGTTTGTATCGTCAACTGCACCCAGGATCCAGTTGCCACGAAAGTGATTGACCGCGTGCGCCACACCCCCGCGGCGGTATTCGACAGCTGGGCCTCCGTAAAAGGGGTTGAAAATATATCTGCACCGTATATGTACTGGTACAGCGAAGTTGTCGCGGCGGAGTTGGTATGCCAAAACCAGAACTTATACTCGTATGTCTGGTCAGGAATCACTTTGGCGGTTTTCTGTATGCTGATGGAGCCGCCGTTCTTGTTGTTGTAAAAGGCCCGGAGACTGTAACGTCCCGACCTCGAAAATTCGTCGGTGACGGAGGTCTCCACAACCGCGAGGCCGGCGCCGCTGACGGCCCAGTCGTTCATGTTTCCAGACTCGAACCCCCCGCTGCCTTGGAGCACATCCACGCCGACCACCGGAGTAGGGGCGGGAACTTGCCCGACGGTGTAGGTGTTGGTGACACAGTTGGAGTCGGACTGGCAGAGGAGTGAGGCTGCTGGTTGGTTGAGGCAGGCAAAAACTGCACTGGCGGTAGCGCTTGCTGCGGTTGCAGCGGGGACTTGTGGGATCGGGGAAGTCGGGAAACAGGCGACAGCAGCCGGAGACGCAGTGAAACCATACGCAGTCATCCGGGCCCGACAGCTTGCAACCATTGTGGCGAGACTTCGTGAGTTAAAGGAGGATGTAAGTCTTTGGCAACCTGCAGGCAGTTTCGCGAAACATAATTCAGGAGTTCCGTTGTAGGTTGGAATGGGAGGGCAACTGGTGATCGTGGTGAGATTCGGACCTTGGCTTGTCGTCGATGTAGGGGTCGTCGTAGTCGACGACGGCAGGCTGCTAGTATTGAGAGTGCTGGAGCTCTCGGTGGTTGTCGACTCGGCTTCAGGTATGGTTGACGTCGACTCGGGAGCTGCCTCCGTCGAGCTTTCGACGAGGGGTTCTGATGTGGATGTGGCGTCGGGAGTGGCGGATGAAGTAGCAGTCTCTTCCTCAGGCTCAAAGGTGCTGGTTGCAGATGCTGATTCCTCACTATTGGATGTGGCAGACGTCGAGCTTTCTACCTCAGACGTTGTGGTGGTGTAAGGGATTGGTTCGACGGTGCTCGATTCCAATTCCAAAGTTGAGCTGACTGGCTCTGGCGTGCTGGTGCTGTCTGGCTCGACCGTGCTGGATGTCTGGATTCCAGGTTCAGCAGTGCTGGTTGCAATCTCAGAGGTCGATGTGGCGGAGGCGGCGGCTTTGGCGTATAGGTTCAGCCTGTCCGGGCCGCCGCACCACTGTGTACTGGCACCCACACAGAGTATCCCGCAATCCTTCTCGGGAGCGGCCTCGCCAAGAAGATCGTCACCGCAGTAGCATTCCCGAGAGTACTCGAGCCCAAAGTAAGAATAGTCCTTGCATCTCTCAGCACATTTCTCCAGGGTCATGTCATCGGTACGCCAGTCGACAGCCTTGAGCGAGCGATCGTCAACCTTGTCGGTCCAGCATGACACGTAGTGGAAGTCACCGATAGTCTCGAGATTGCTGCCAGTACCGGATCCAGGAGTCTCGGGTGGAATGTGATAGACGTTCAAGCGGTTGGGCCCTCCGCACTTTTGAGACGCATCGCCAGAGCATGCCATATCGCATTCTCCTTCGGCCTGCTTGATGCTGGCTGCATCGAGGGTCGTGCCACAGAAGCACTCTGATCCGTACTCAACTCCGAACCAAGTGTATCCGCCCACGCTGCAGGTGGCAGCACACTTCTCCAGTGTCATGTCGGACTCGGTGACTGTCTTTCCGGCTAGCACACGCTGGGCAACGTTGTCGGAGTAGCATCCCTTGTACTCAAAACCGGAGATGGATGATGTCGGCGGATCCTCGCACTCTGCCTCGAGTTCGTAGACGTTCAATCGCATGCCGCCGCCGCAGTTCTCGTTGGGATCGCCAGAGCACGCCATGTTGCAATCGGATGCAGGGGCAGGGTTAGTCGGACGGTTGTTGCCGCAATAGCATTCGGAAGACCACTGCGTACCGAAAAAGTCGTAGCCAGCACAGTTGATCGCACACTTGGCCGCCGTCATGTCGTGGGTGCTGATAATCCTGCTAGGCAGAATCCGACTGCCTTCGTCGACGAAGCAGCCCAGGGCTG